AGATGCCGTGCATCGTCGCCAGCCACTCCCACCGCGTCTCCTCGTAGATGGACACGTTGCAGCGCGGGGCCAGTCCGAGCTCCGCGAGGCCGCGGCTGAAGCTCATGATGGACGTCCACATCTCCCCGAGCGTGATGCGCTGCGTAGGTCCAAGGTACGTGATCTCCATCACGCGCTGCTCGCCCTTGCCGACGTCGATGGGTTCCCGCGCCCGCCGAATCAGCGGCCGGTACTCGATGCGGGGCTCCTCGGCGTACGTCTCACACACTTGCCGAAATCGCTGTGTGGTGTTGTCGCCGTGGTAAACCGACGTACACAGGGCCTGATAGGCGTCCTCTGCGTAGAGACGGCCGTTGCGGTAGGTGGCAGAGCTGGTCGAGGCTGGCACTTCGGTGGTGTCCGGCACGGGCCGGCTTAACGGTCCATACGCTTGCAGGTCAGCGATGGGGGTGCTCGGTGTCACCGAGTAGGCGTTGCGCGCGCTGAGCAGCGCCGATAAAACGGCGCCCATCCTTTTCCGTGTGTTGTCCAGCGGCTGATGCAATAGTAATAATAATAATAATAATAGTTTAAACTCAAAAGCAGATCAATACATACATATATTTATTTATTTAATCGCTTGGAATGAAAGAGTGGAGCGTAACCGCGATGAATGTTAACGGAGTAAAATACAAAAGAAGAAGAGGAGGAGCAGCAGCAGCAAGCAAGACGGAGGGCAACAACACCAAAAATATTTTTCCGTTTATTTTTGCTTGTTTTACGTCGCGCTGTGATGTGCACAATGGCGGAGTAAAATACGGAGCGAGAGAGAGAGAGAGGGAGAGAAATTATGTGAATATAGTTCTTGCTGGATATACATATATCTATAAGTAGAAGTACGCGGAAGATGGTTTCTGCCGCTTCCTTTTGTGTTGGATTGCTTGCGAGGTCGGCTGATGGGTGCGACTCTGCGATTCATCAGGCAGAAGCAGCAACATGAACGGATACAGAAAACATAAGAAAATGAAAAAAGGAGAAGAAGAAGATCAATGAGAAGGGGCAGTCAACGAAGCACACACACACACACACACACATTCACTCACACGAGATGAGCATGACAATCGAACTGACGAACAAGCCGCATTCGAAAAGATAACATTGCTATTCACAATTTTTTGTTTTTTTATTGTCTAACTTAGTGTGTTTGCGCTTTGTAGTGACCAGTGTCTCTCGTGCGGCCGGCGAGAGAGAGAGAGAGACAGAGAGAGAGAAGTCAAAGGAGCTCGCATGCCCGAGTGTCGGCGGTCTTATTCCTTTTCTTTTTTTCCTTTCCTACGGTAAACACACCGTGCATCATCAAACCCCGAAAGAAATACAAAGTACTAAAAGAGAACTGCGAGATGCAGCGAAGTCAAAGTAGAGTAGAGGGGGAAGAGAAAAGATTTTGGAAACAAAGCTAATGAACCAGAAAGAAATAGAAAAGAAAAGGAATGTGTGTTGGTTTGAGTGTTTATCGCTGTCAATCGAACGGGGGTTTTAACCGTTCTTGTGGGTATTATATATATATATATATGTTTTGCTGCTCGCTTCTCGTTTCTCGCTGAAGAAAATAGGAATGAGCATACACACACACACACACACGCACGCCCGCCTATGAAAGGAAAACAATAGAAGTCACGTAAGGAGGTGAGAAGGAGCGAGGGAGAGAGAAGGGGCGGATCACCTCACGTATATATACATATAAGTGCACCTCCTCCCCTCCTCCTCCTCCCTGACGACGCAAACCACGCGGGTGTTAACCCCCAAAAAGTACTCATCCAAGACGAGTCGGTAGAATACAAACGCAATCTGAATCCATCCATCATACACATAGACGCACGCACACACATACAGAGATAAAGATAGAGAGAGAGAGAGACGCACGCAGCACCGGGCTGCTAACTACTTTCCCAGTAGATAGATGATTCTATCACGCAGAGTCGATGACCGCAGCAGCAGCAGCAGCAACAACTACAGAAAAGCACACTACAAACAAAGGGCTGAATAAGCTATATATATATATATATATTATTGAACCTCGTCAAGGGGAGAGAGAAAGAACAAACATGCACGAGTTAGAAGGAATAGTAAATGGCAATAATAATAATAATAGCAGTAAAGTGCGCTGAAAGAAATGCCAAAGGCGACGCTTCCTCTGATTGAATCAACGAAGTGGAGGCACGAAATAATTAAAAAAACAAAGCAAAATCAGATTGTAGCAAGAATGAATATGCAGGAGGCCCTCGACTCCACAGTCTGCTTCCGACCTCCCCTCCCCTCCTCCTCTCCTCACTTGTCTCTCGGGTTACTTCGAACAACACACAGGTTCTTCTTTTTCCCTTTCCATTTGCAGCCCACGTAATACAAATAAAAGAAAGGGTGCCTGAGTGTTTTGAAGCGCTGACATCGACTCGAAACCAAAAGAACACTCGCAAATGGTAATGATAATAATAATGATAATGATGGTTGTTGTGATGGGTGGATGGGGGTTCGAAACAAAAAAGTTCAGTTAGGCAAAGAAGAGAAGAGCAGAGGAGCGCCCCCCCCCCCCTTCCCCTCCCGAAAACACAAATGAGCAGACAGCAGCAAAGTAATAATAAGTAACAATAATAAATAATAATAGAAGAAAGAGGGAAGAGACTGGGGAGAAAGCTGCTACACACGAAGAGTCCGTCGTGGGGAACAGGGATCAGAAAAAAGAGAAAAATATATAGTGACTTTTCCTTTCTTGTTGTCGTTGTTGCTGCTGGTTGCTCTTTTAGAAGAATACCGACTTGAACTGCTGCGGCGACAGGTGCAGATGGTGCTCTCGGCGCGCGCTTCCCACAGGCGAGGCAGGAAGAGATCAACGACAGCGAAGGGGCTGGGGAGCAATATGAACTCTCTTACACACACACAACACGCACATCTCCGCCGTTGCTAAGAGCGTTGTTTTCTTCTTCTGCCGCCTTCCGCGTCGCACAAGTCGTTCTTGCTCTCTCTCTCTCTCTCTCCGCGAGGGTTTTAAACCCCCGTTAGATCGCGCATCAACTCGCACATGAAACAGCAAACCAACACAAAACCAAATCATAATAATAATAATAATAACAATAAACTCCAGAAATCACCAGGTGCACCAAGTACAAAAATCGATTTTGTTTTACTGGGATGTTATTCTTTTTTTTTCTTTTTAATTTTTGTTTTCTTTCTCGGGGGATGGCGTCGCGTGACGCGCGCGCCCGGCAGCGTGTGTCAGCGCCCTGCGTCCTGCTTGCCCGATGATCGCACCTTTGCTTTTTTGTTAACCACCTTTATATATATATTAGTAGGGACTTTTTTTTCTTCGCTTTTAAGGGGCCGTCGCCGCTTTGAAAGAGAGGGAGGTGTGTGTGTGTGCGTGGAACTACGCCGCTGCTGTGGCGGCCACGATTCGCTTCAGCGACGACACAAACTCATGGCACGCGTCCTCTGGCGTTGCCCAGGAGGTCACGAAGCGCACCACGGCGGTGCCGTCGCGGCGGTCCTCGAAGAGCATGCAGTCGTACTCCTTCGAAATCTCCGTGTAGAGGGCCATCGTCATGATCGGGAACTGCTGATTGCTCTCCGAGTCGTAGGCGAAGGTCAGGCCACACTCCTGCAGTCCGTTTTTGATGATGGCCGCGGCTTTGTTCGAGTGGGCGCCGAGCTCGAAGATGAGGTTGTTCCTCATGAGCACCTCAAACTGAATCCCCAGCATCCACCCTTTCGCGAGCAACGCGCCGCGCTGCTTGATCAAGAAGCGCAGGTCCGGCTTGAGGGCGTCGTTCAAGACGACGAGGGCCTCTCCAAACATCCCTCCCACCTTCGTGGCGCCGATGTAGAACATGTCCGTCAGCCGCGCCATGTCTGCTAAGGTGACGTCGTTGTGCTGGCTGGTGAGCGCCGACGCAATGCGCGCGCCGTCGACGAAGAGGAGCAGGTCGTGTGCGCGACAGAAACTAGAAATCTCCTCCAACTCGTGCCTTTCGTACTGCGTGCCGACCTCCGTCGTGTTCGAGATGTACACCATGCGTGGCTTCACCGTGTGCTCGGAGTTGTTCTCGTGCAAGGCGCTGTCGATGTCCGCCACCCGCATCTTGCCGTCACGCGAGAAGACGTTGAACACCTTGTGCCCCGTCGCCTCGATGGCGCCGGTTTCGTGCGTGCTGATGTGGCCGAGCTGCGTTGCAATCACACACTCCCACGGCCGCAGCGCCGCTGAAATAGCAATTAAGTTGGTCTGCGTGCCACCTGAAATGAAGTGCACATCCGCGTCGGGCGCATCCGCGGCCTTCCGGATCAGGCGGGCAGCCTCCGCGCAGTGCGCGTCGAGGCCGTAACCGGGGTTCTGTTTGCCGTTGTTCTCCTGCATCATCGCCTCGAGGACCTGCGGGTGCATCCCCTCGCTGTAGTCATTCATGAAGCTGTAGCGCTTGCGGGGAACAGAGGGCGGCGTGGTCGTCGTCGTGTCCTTCGTTGTGTCCTTCGTTGACATCGGTGTTGTCTTGATCGTTGACATGGTTGAAAAAAGAAAAGATTTTCTTTTCCGTGTAAATAAAAAGAGGTGAGCACTTGGGATCGGTGTAGCGAGGAGGGGCGAAAAACGGCGGAAGGAGCACTTGCTGAAGGGGAAGAGAGATGGAGAGAGAGAGCTTCAAGAAGATTTTTATATAAATGATAATAATAATAGCGAAGAAAGAAGATTGGGAGAGCGAGAGCGAGGGGGTGAAATACGAATATTTCTCTTTTGTATTTATATGGTAAAGGTGGTATTCGGTTTGTGTTGTTCATGGTTAGATGCAAGGGGGGAGGGGGTAAACGAGCGGAGGGAAACAGAGGAAGGGGAGCGCGTGGAAGTGGAGAAGTACACGATGGGTTGTTATTACTATTAGTATGGCCCTTGCGGTGCTGTTGCACGTCATTGCCAACCTTTCCTCACGACGATCTTTCTGTTTTTCATCAACAGAGCGGTTGAGGTGGTTTCGGTTCTTTGTCTTTGTCTCTCTCCTATTGTGACAGCGGAACGCGCCGGTACAACCTGGCACCCCCTGCAAACTTCTCATATATATATATATATATATCTGACAATCGATATTGCTACCGCCACGACCCTCGTCAAGCATCTCTCTCTATACGTGTATATATATATATGCTGCGCCTTCTATGCGTGCTTCTATGGATGAAAAAAGAAAAAAGAAAAGCAGACGAACTCCCCCGATACGACACATTCTTGGGGGGTTTCTCCCTCACACTGCAACGGCACCAGCAGCAGTGCAGTTCGCCAACGTCGTCGCGCACGCAGAGGGAACGGAGCAAGCAGCCGTCATCGCTTCACGCCGTCTGAGCCATGCGCACGAGATTGCCTTCCCTGTCGTGGTCGCACTCAAACTCGGTCGGTGCCGTCGCAGCCTGCAGCGCGGGAATCAGAAACCGCCGGTGTTCGCGCGGTCCAGCACCCACCGCAGCGGACGGAACGCCAAAATTCCCTCTCGCGTGCTTTCCGGGTACCTCGCCAGCGCCGGCGCCGCGTGCAGCTCCATGAGATAGAGATGCAGCACCCCAAGCAGACGTCCCTGCTCCGTCCATTGCATGCGACCCGAAGAGCGCACGGTGTAGCTCTGCGGTGCAAACTCGGTCTCCTCCACCTCACGATGTGCGCACTCCAACGGCGTCTCCTGGCTGTCGCGCTTTCCGCCCACGCCGTTCCAGCTGCCCATAAACGGCGATTTCAGTCGGTTCAGCAGGAGCACGTCGTCACCGCGCGTGAGAAAGCAAAGCGCATACTCCTTTGCCGTGGTCATTGCGTGCATGTGTCAACGCATATGTGGGTGGGGAGAGGGGGGATGGCTACGGCTCGCTTCCTGCACCTCGGGGGATATCAATATCTTCTTAATTGTTGTTGTCAACGCAGCTCGGAGCATTCGACGGCAAAGCAAAGAAAGGGCAGGACAACAGCACGAGAAGAACAACAATCGAAGAGGAGGGCGAGAGAGAGCAGAGAACCAATCAAATCAAATCATAATAATCACATATAGGACAGCTGCATCAACATGGCTGGTCATTCGATCATTTTCTCTCCCCATATATATGTCAAAGGGTTCTTCTCGCCATCATGAAAAGAACGGAGCAATAGCGAGAACAATACTCCCCATTTGCGTAGGTGCCTTTCCCTGTTCAGATGCGAGAGGTGCGAAGAGGGGTATGCGGCGGAGTCCGTACCGCATGCGCCTGGATAACACATCGGTGTGCAGCTGCCACGGTGTCTCTCCCTGGACAACACGCATTCCACACTGCAAATAAGAATATATATATATATATATATATACGAGTAGATCGCTTTGTCATTGACGTAGCCGGATGATGCCTCGTCCGAGATTCAATATGTAAATAAACAACTCTTTTTGTTTTTTCAAAGTATAAAACTGGAAGCGAAAAGAAGAAACAGAATAAGAAGGATAGGAAGTCAAGAGTCGAAGTGACTGCACGGCATTTGGGGAAATACATCACTAGCGAGTACCTGGCATCAATGTCCCCATCAAGGCTACTCATTGTTTCTTCACTATCTAGTATCTGCCCCAATTCCGTTCTTCTTTA